GCCGGGGGAAGCAGAGGAAGAGGAAGACCTCCACTCCGTTGGAAGGACCAAGTGGAGAAGGACCTGGCTTCACTTGGAATATCTAATTGGCGCCATGTAGCGAAAAGAAGAAACGACTGGCGCGCTGTTGTTAACTCGGCTATAATCGCGTAAGCGGTGTCTACGCCAATCAAGAAGAAGAAGAAATTTGTCTACATATGGTAGTCCATGAGCGATCTTTGATCAGCCATTTAACCTAACCACTACAAGCTCTCTTTTTTTTGGCAACCATTTTACAAACAAATAAATGTCAACATCTTGCAGGCAATGAGTCTCGCGGTTTGCTGCCGCTCAAAATTTGTGTACCCTATGTTTATAAACTATCAACTATGTATCTCAAGTAACATATTTTATCATGCAGCGAGAGATCCAAATAGGCGAGTTTCTAGGACAAAATTAATAAGAAAGTTCAAAAGGATGGTTTGTAAAGCATCTGCATAGCATAAAGTTTCTGCGTCTCTTTGCGATACCCAGAATCATCTTTTCTCACTACTTTCCACCAGCCTCACTCCTAACTGTGTTGGATATGTTGTAACTTCTCTAATACTTATGAAGAGAGAGAGAGATACAGAGAAAGCAAATTTTTGTAGCAAAATTCATATGAGCAGAGAATGAGTTGTAACAACAAATGTACAATAAATACAAGGACAGTCTGATAAATACTTGACCTAAAAATTTAAATAAGGTAAGTTCGGGTGCAAGGAATATGTTATACTCCAGCAATTTCCTAGAATCAAAGCCAGGGAATATAGTTTCGGAAGGTGTTCAAAATAACTCTGCTTAGCGACCACACAAATCTCTTCCTGGCGTGTAGACAAAAACCAAGACTTCGGGGGACAAATGTGAGAACACGGCGGACGGCAGTTCGTCAGAAGTGAGCAAGACTGTGGGCTTAGCAGACAAATTTTTCTTCGCCAAATATGACGGTGCCTCAACATCTCAGTGACCAAACAGCCCAATACATTTACATAGTAGTGACTATTTGTCGTGAATTCCAGGAAAACGTTGGTAACTCTCTTTCTATCCAATAGGATAGTCACAGACTTGTATGGCGCAGCTACGCCGATTGATTTGGACGGTTCCTTGAAATCTGCTGCCTCTGCTCCAGCTACTGGTGCTGGTGCTGCTGCTGCTGCCGAAAAAAAGAAGATGAAGGTATGGGTCAATACTAAGTTATGCTAAGTGAGTAAGGCAGTAGTTCTTATCAGGCCGTCCTCGCATTTTTATATGTATATACTTATTTGGTATTGACTGTTTTGATAAAATGAACACGAGTTCCGATTACCTTTGTTCATTTGCAGAACTGTAATTATATATTTGTATATTTCAGTAATAAATCAATTAAACCTAAATTGATAAATATATGACTTAAATAATATATACAAGCATT